TTTTTCTTTCTCTCCCTTTCCTCCTTCCCCCTCTTTCTTGCCCCCTCACTTTCTTTTTTTTATGTTTATTTTTTTTTTACTTTCCTTTTTTTTTTTTTTAATACGGGAAAATAAGTAAAAAAAAAAAAGTGCGGGTGTTTTTGAGAAAGAAAGAAAGAGAAAATTGGTAGGGAGGAGGGAAACGAATTGGGAATGAAAGTGTTGGAGAACAGGAGCGGAAAGAGGAATCGTTTCGAGAAGGAATTGGTACAGAATATAGCGCCGCACACGAGAAACGAACTCGGGAACTTTTTTTTTTTTTTATTAATTTTTTTAAAAATGAAAAAAACTCGGGGGGAGGGGAAAAAAATTTTTTTCACATTTTCTCCAGCAAAAAGAAGAAAAATTTTTTTTTTTTTTTGATCCTGGCTTTATTCCAGTTTAAATTATATTTTTGAGCTTTTCCGTAATTTTTAACTCAGTCTTTGGTAAGAGTTATTATATTGTCTTTTGTTAAAATAAAAAAAAAAAAAAAAGATTTTAAGCGAAGCTTTCCAAAAAAAAAAAAAAAAATTAAAATGAAATGAAAGCAACTTTGAATGGAAAAATTAACACAAAAAAAAAAAAAATGGCAAAGTTTTCAAACGAAATGAAAAGAATTTTTCTTTTAGAGAGAGAGAAAGAGGGGAGGAGGGAGGGAGGAAATGGGAAGAGAGAGAAGAGAATTTCAGGTTTTTTTCATAATGATTTTATTAACGAAATGAAAGGAGGGGGTTGAAGAAAAGCAAGAGGAGAAAGGGTTTTAAAAAAATGTTTTTTTCAGCTTTAAAAAAATAATTGAATTTAATTTTTTTTCCCACCCTCTTTCTCCCCCCACTTCCGTTCAAAACAACAAATACCCCATGATAAAATTATATTTTCTGTTAAAAAAAACTTCGGACGATTGATTAGTTATGGGTTGGAGAGAAAAAAATAAATTTTTTCTTCTTTTTCCACGTCATAAACGTGTAAAAATTACATTCTGATATTTTTCATTCATAAATTCAATTCCTTCGGGAATAACATAGAAAAAAAAAAAACAATGTTTGAATTATATAATTTTTTTTTTCCTTTTTCATTTTTTGCATCGAGTCGTGAAACCTTTCTCACTCTCTCTCGTGGAATAAAAAAAAGAACAAACTATTAGTTTCGAAAACAACTTTTCTATTTTTTTTTTTTTTTTGGAAAAACAATTGGAAAAAATTTTCCCTTTTCGGCCATTCTTTCGTTTTTTTCTTTTGCTTTCTCTTATTTCACTTTCACTTCCTATTTCTCTCCTCATTCACTTCCCCTCTCTTTCTCTCTCTTCGATTTTTTTTTTTATTTTTTCAAACTTTTAAATTTCCTTTCTTTTTTTTTTTTTTGTTGTTATTTTATATAGAAAACAATGGAAAATAATAGAAAATTATTAAACAATGATTTTTGATTAAAATTTATTACGTACGCCCCCATCTATTATTATTATTATTATTTATTTATTTTATTTTACTTATATTTACTTATTGTTTTAAAAAAGAATTCATTGGTTGGTTTTTTGTTTTTCACATTTCCTTTTTCCTTCGCCCCTTTGCCCCCCGAAAAAAAAAACCAAACCCAAATAGGAAAATTATTTTTAACCATACGGGGAAAATTATTTAATAATAATAATAATAATTCAATTTGATAAACACAAAGATAATAATAAAAAATAATTTTTTTATTATTATTTTTAAAGGCTCAAAAAAAAAGTTTTCAGCATAGAAATTTCAAAAATGTTTTGTTTTTTTTTTTTTTTTAAAAAAAAAAAAAAAAAAAAAAAAAAAAAAGAAAGAAAAATTTGATTAAAAAAACATTTAAAAACTTTTGACATTTATTTAAAAAAGGGGAGCAATAGGGAAGGGTAAGGGGAGTAGGGGGGGGAGAGAGAGAGAAAAGTTCAAAGCATTAAGTTAATAATTGCTTTCATTGCTAAACTTTTTTTTTTTTTTTTTTTTTTTTTGTTATGAAATCGAAACGATGAAATTTCTTTTTATTTTACGTGACGTGAATTGTATGACGTCATCGATTTGATTTTATATTATCGATTTACGGTCTGATAATTGTCTTAATAATTTACAAGAAACTTTGAATAATAAAATTTTGAAAAGTTTTTTTTTTTTTTCGTGTTGAAAAATATACAACAAAAACCTCGCTAGAGAGAGACACAAATTTTTTTCATAAAAAAAAAGTTTTTAAGGATAAAAAAGGACGTGAAATTCTTTCATCTCTCTCTCTCTTTTTTTTCATGTCTGCAACTTTTTCCCTTCCTCTTTTTCTCTTTATGTCTGGAACTTTATCTCTCGATGTTACGAATACTGAATAAAAATAGTTTGTTGTAAAAAAAAATAAAAAAAAAAAATAAGAACTTAAAAAACTTAATGTGTAAATAAATAAAAATTAAAATAATCTCCCACATGAGATTTTGTCACGGAAAAAATTTTAGGATGGGGGTAGTGAAGGAAGCTGTGAAAATGGTCCATTCGTTCGTGTGACTAAAGACATAATTTCCTCGGTTGTCATAACTTCATCAAAATTAAAAGAAATTTTTTTTAATAAAGAAAAAGGGAAAAAATGAATTAAAAACAAAAGTAAATTTTGCAAAAAAAAAAGCACGCGCACGCGCACGCACGCACCCGCAAGCATGTAAAAAAAAAATTCTCTTTTTAGAGAGTTTGTTTGTTAACAACAAACGAAAGTAAAAGCAAAAGTAAAGTTATAAAAATTTTTTTTTAGTTTTCTAGATAAAAAATTTAATTGAAAAACATTTTATTGTTATTTATTATTTTTAAAAAAACTTTTAATAACTTATTAAAATTTATTATTAACCGTTCAAACATTTAAATTTTTATTTAGGAAAAATATTTAAAGTAAAAAATTTACAACAACAACGAGAAACGTTTTCCAAAAACGATTTCATAAGGTTGTTATCGCAAAAGAGTAATTTAATTATCCTTTAAAAAACTTTAGAAATTTTGTTGTTTTCCCTTTTATTAAGGGTAATATTAACCCTTATTCGGTATTACCATTTTTTTCGAAAGTGACTGAACAAAATTTTTAGAAAAAACAAAAAAAAAAAAAAAACGATGGAAAAAATCACACTCACACTCGTTTTTTTTATTTTTCTAGATAATCAATTTTAGATTAAACTTATTTTTACGTCATCGTTTTCGTCGTCATCGTCTACGTCATCGTTTTCATGTATTTTCAGTTTACGTTTCGTTCGGTTAAAAAAAAAAAATTTAACAATAAAAATATATGATAAGTAATTTCCCTTTGGGGTGATTCTTATCAATGAGTTCGATTTCCAAAAAAAAAAAAAAAATTCGTTA